TCCAAATTTTCGGCCTTGTGCCACATTTAAGATCGTTTAGAACATGGGTAAATCGACGTGATGCAATGTTCTAGAAAACTTGCCTTGCTAGATCAATAGCGACTGAAGAGTGATTTCTATCATCACTGGGTGCTCCAAATTTTTGGCCTTGTGCCACATTTAAGTTACGTTTAGAACATCATGGGTAAATCGACGTGATGCAATGTTTTAGCAAACTTGCCTCGCTATGATAAATTTCGACTGAATAGTGATTTCTATCATCATTGGGTGCTCCACAATTTCGGCCTTGTGCCACATTCAAGTTACGTTTAGAAGATTATGGGCAATTCGACGTGCTGCAATGTTCAGCAAGTTTGTCTCGCTATAACAAATTTCGAGTGAATAGTGATTTCAACCATTACTAGGGGCTCCAGACTTTCGGCCTTGTGCCTCTTCTAAGTTAACTTTAGAAAATCATTTGGGCACCTTGACGTGGTGTCATCAATAACGACTGAGTAGAGAGTTCTATCAACACTGGGTGCTCAACACTTTCAGCCTTGTGCCAGATCTACGCTACAGTCTGAAATTTTGGGAACTTGATGTAATGGTTAGCAATCTTGTCTCGTTAGATCAGTTGCCACTGAGTCGTGAGTTCGATTCTCCCTGTGTGCTCCACATTTTCGTCTTTTTCTCCCGTCGATGTTACGTTTAGATAATCGCCATATAAAAGTGTCATATCACATAGGAAAAGAAAAAGAAGAAATAAAAGGAATGGTCATCTAACGAAATGACGACTGTCATCGAATATTTATGGGCTACCATAGACTAAACAGTAATGCGAAGTTTACTTGCCAATCTGTCGTTTAAAATGGGATGGGAAAAATCCGGATAATCAGAGCAGGAAAAATAATCAAAAGACATGTGCAATTACATGTGCGAAGGGTTGATATGCGTGCTGGCGCGGACGTAGACATACACAGACACACACACGCACCCATACACCCACACAAACATATATACATATATTCAGACATGTATATATATATACACAGACATATGCAGACACACATGTGTCGCATTTTGCCCATGCGAATACGTAAGTTAATGTCTGTATAAGAATATGCATATTCTTATGCATGTGTGCGTGTGTGTGTGTATGTGCGTATGTGTGTGTAATAGTTTATATATATGTGCATATATATCTGATTACATATATATGTATGTACGTAACTACATATGATTATTTATACGCATGTATATATATATATATATATATATATATATATATATATATATATATATGAGGGATATATATATATATATATATATATATATATATGAGGGAGTGTTGTTCCAAGTGCGTATATGGCTTGTATATGTCAATCTGCTGATATACGTTTACTGAAAGTGCACAGACACGCGTGTGCGAGCGCACACACTCACGCGCACATACACACACATTATATATATAGTGTTTATCCATATGGGATACATAGATTAATAGCAGTGTATATATATATATATATATATATATATATAATATTTTAAATGCACACTGAGATCAACACGCTCACTCTTTTATGCCTAAACGCTCTACTTGTGATATTAAACACTTTTATCCACACACACACACACACACACACACACACACACATAAATATATATATATATATATATATATATATATATATATATATATATATATATATATATATATATTATATATATACGTTACAGGTGCGATGATAGACATACACACACACACACACACACACACACACACACACACACACACACACACATATATATATATATGTATGATATTGCACATTAAGTTTTGGGGTTTAAGAAAATAGTGCTCGCTGTAATACAGCAGAGCTATTAAGCATTTATTAATAAATATTCATATTATCCTTCACCAGTAGAACGAGTTTCATGAACAGCGCAATCTTAAGGTCCTGGGTAGAGACTGACCTTTTCGTCATTGAAATTTTAATAAAAATATCTGATGAACGCAAGGCTGTCGAAGTCCATTTACTGTACAGGAATTACGGTCTTATAAAGATATTTTGCATTTTAAACAGACGGGGTTTTTATTTTATATTTAAAAAATAAACGAGAATTAAAATTTTATTTTATATTTAAAAAAAAAAAGGGTTTAATTGTATTTATTAAAATAGGATAATATATATATATATATATATATATATATATATATATATATATATATATATATATATATATGTGAGTCTGGCTTTTTTATATGTTGGAATGTCAATGTAAGTGACTCTATATATATATATATATATATATATATATATATATATATATAAAAGTTTGACCCTCTTCACAGCTTTGGATTTCGAAGAATTGTTTAAAATTGATGGTTGCATGTTTTTTCAAGACTAATTTGCTCGCTCACTTCGTTCCTGGGACATTTTCTCCCCTCTAAACGTTTTCATTATGCATTCAATAATAATAATAATAATAATAATCTTTACATATGTAAAGAGAAGTTGTCTGTATGTATTTGTGTGAGTTCGGGTAAAACTAAAAAAACTATAATAATCCCGACAAAATAAATATATATACAGACTAATTATCAATCAAGCCATCTTTTTATAAAAAAATATCATCGTATGATTCGTATTTACGAAAATATTTTAGAATTAAAATGCATTAGAATGTATTCGAAATTCTCTGAATTAAAAAGTAAAAACGAACGGTAATAATTCTTATTCCCGATTATCATTCGTTTTTACGTTTTAATTCTGCTGATACTTTCGAAACGCTGTAGATGATGAATTTTTTAAATTTTTATTCTCTTGAATTTATTTTCACATCTATAATAAATAGAAACGTATATTTTAAAAAATAAATATTAAAACAATCAAGTAAATTTAAAACAAGAACAGAATTAAATATAATTATTTGAAAAAAATAGTTGAATATTTATTTATTCATATATACGAAACAAAAATTGTAGAACCCCGACAGAATAAATTCCTGTAGATAATTTGAGGGGAATTTTCAGTAGCTTCAATACAATCGAATATTCCGCGTTTAATATATATCATAATTTATTTACTTTTTTATTAATAATAATTTGAAAAAAAAATAATGAACTTAGATAAATCGATTTGATTTGTTTGAAAACAGCATTAACAGAGTATATATGTAAGTATTTAATTCGAAAAATAAAGTGTATTTTTGAATAAAATTATGGGGGTGCTCAACCCCCAATTCCCACCCCCAAGCGAGGCATTGGTAATGTGGAATTTTTCTAAATTTAAAAAAACAAAAAAACAATGAAGTTTATTTTTGAAGATTGAAAAATAAATATTTTCCATAAGATGGCTGAAAAATCTCAATAAATTGTCTACACCAAACTATTATTCAGAGATCTTCCGAGAAACGCCGGGTATCCCTGCTAGTAATAATAATAAAGGAAGCTCAAAATATAGTTTCAAGTGGGTGAAGAAATGCAAGTGAAGCATAATAAAACAACTGCAGCTGCAAAAAACTGTAAAAAGAAAAACAAAAGCAAATGCAACCGACCAGATACAGAAACGATGGCAAGATAAACCTCTTCTACCCCGTACCAAACGAGCTGATGTAGACAAACCCTGTACACATCAGTGGCTACGTGGTGCAGAGTTAAAAGCTGAAACAAAAGGTTTTATTCTTGCTGCACAGGACCAATGCTTGCTAACTAGAAATTACCAAGCACACATATTGAAAAAAATGTCTTAAACCACAATGCAGATTCTGTGATAAATATCCAGAAACAATTGACCATCTTGTAAGAGGTTGCGTGGTATTGGCACCCACTGAATATAGAACTCTGCATGATAGAGTGGGTCAGTATCAGCACTGGAAAATATGCAACTTTTAACGAAAGGAAACCTCAAGAAATTGGTATGAACACCACACTGTCACGGTTACGGAGAAAAGAGCTGTAACAATTTTATGGGGCTTTACAATACACAGAGACAGAAGAATCAAAGTTAATCACCCAGACATCGTGATTAGAGACTGAAATGACAAAATGTACCTTCTTATTGACATATGGCAGTCCCTGAAGACTGTAATGTACCCCTGAAGAACTTCAAAAAAACTATCAAAATACAAGGATTTTGAAGTGGAATTCTCAAAAATGTGGTACATGACTTAAAGTTGGAGCCCTCGGATTGATTTGAAAAGATTCCAATAGATTCACTGAAAGAATTCCTGGTAGCCCAAACCTACCTTAAAGAAAAACAAAAAAATGTTATCACAAGTGCAGCCCACAGCTTACGAAGGGTTTTATTTATGTAAAATATGTGTGAATATTTTTGAGGGTTTTTTTTTTTTTTTTTTTTAACTGCCCAGTGATGCTTTTTTCTGAGCTTAGGTCTCTGGTCGAGACACGGAAAAAATGAGTATACACCAGAAATCAAAGGAAATAATAATAATAATAATAATAATAATTGCTGCATAAAAGATAGGACCTGTTACAATTCTATGGGACTACACAATACACGCTGACAGAACAATCAAAGCCAACCGCCCAGATATTGTTATTAAAGACCACAAACGAAAAAAAGTGCCTCCTTATTGACATGGCAGTCCCTGCTGACTGCAATGTATCTTTGAAGATATTCAAAAAGTTGTCAAAGTACAAGGACCTTGAAATAGAAATCTAGAAAATGTGGCATATGGGAACATCAACAATCCCTGTTGTAGTTGGAGCCCTAGGACTGGTTGGAAAAGATTGCAGTAGACTAATTGAAGGGATTCCTGGAAGTCCATGCCTCAAGGAGATATAAAAAATTGTTCTGCCCACACTTTACAAAAGGCTTTATCTAAGTAATTTTTTTTTTTTTTTTGAAAGTGGAAAGTGTCATGACGCCATTTCTAACCTTAGGTCCCTGGGCGGGACTCGGAAAGAAATGTGTAAACGCCAGAAATCAAAGAAAATAAAAATAATAATAATTGCTGCAAAAAAGATCCTTAAAATTGTAGGACATACCACCAAATAATGTTGAAACACCGGTATCCCATACGATCACCGAAGTTAAGTCACAGCGTGACTGGTCTGTCCCTAGATGGGTGACCACTTGGGAATACCAGGTGCTGTAAGCTTGGATGGACGGATGGTGTAAGGAAAATGGTATGAATTGGAAACCGGAGAGCCGAGTTCTATTTCCAGTCGGGTCCGTTATATTCCCTTACGCCTCAAATAAACTTGGGAAAGGTATGAATCTACCTATTCTCCCCAACTATGGGTTAATTAGTAGGATTTGTATCGTTAAGTCATTATTATCTCAAAAAAATTCTTACCATCTGTAGTTTCGTCCACCGCCGCAAAAAAACCTAATAACTGACGTGATGTTTTTAAATATATTCACCAGATCGAGATTGTCATATGGCTATCATGAATGGCGCCATATCTGTTCAGAAATATCTAAACTGTCAGCTGTGTACAACCAATTTCTCGGGTCAATGATTAAAAATAGCTTCGAGCGAATAAAACCAGTAGGTCTTAGCGAGGATAATCCTTCTTTGAACCTTGTGGACTGGTGCTACATAATTGCAAACGAAGAACTGTATCAAATAAGACACCAAATCAGTTAAGGACTATCAATAGAGAGCCGAATTCTAATTACAGTCGAATTTGTTATAGTCACTTGCGCTGCAAATAAACTTGGGAAATGTATGAATCCACCTCTTCTCCCAAACTATGGGTTAATTAGTAGGATTAGTATCGTTAAATCATTATTACCTAAAAAAGAATTATTAAAATCTCAAAATATTTTCTGGTTTTTAATATCCTGCAAAAAGATTGATAAGCCGTAAAATATGAATGAATCAATGAAAATTGGATGCCAAGCACTATCGTGTTAAATAGTTTCACCATTCTAGGTTAGCAGGTAATTAAGCCAAAGAAGGCATGAAACTGACTATTTATTAAATTCAGACGGCAGCCTAAAATTTGGGCCTATATGTTACGGCATAAATACCTCTCACATATAACTCCTAGAAATACTTCCGACATAATGTTAAGACATTAGCTAGATGAAGACGCCATTGTTACCAATGTAAAACCATTATGCTAGATTTATTTCTGCTGCACCCTGTATAAGTTTACTGTACATGAACACATACACAGACACGCACATCATACTCACACATGCGTGCGCACACATACACACATATATACATGGTGGTTTTTTGCTGTTTATATGAATATATGAAATACTCTCACACACACAGACACATATATATATATATATATATATATATATCATATACATATAATTTGTGTGTGGGTGTGTGTGTTTATACAGGTTGCAATGGATAAATTATCGCCATTTTATATTTTTAATTTTGCGCATGCGCGTTATTTGTTTTCGATTTTGTCGACTGCACAGTATAGATATTTACCCTGTCTTCCCGCTGAGACGAGATGCGATGCAAGGTCAGTTTCTAAGGTGGGGAACCCGAGTGTGTACATTCGGGCAGAGGACAATAATTCCTCGATCCCACGCAACCGTCGATTGCGCTGGTCGCGGTACGTGCACCGATCCTTCTCTACAGTGCCAGTATAGTATGGTAGTTAAGCACCGTCTGCGAGAAAAAGAGGATCATGACGCAATTAGGGAAACGGTATGCTGTACTTTTTGGCATTCGCGCCGGAAGCTCCAATACGAACATTTCAGAGAATTTTGGTGTCAATCTGATGACAGTGCATAGGATTCGGAAAGAGTTGGATGATGGTGAGTCTAATGGTGAGTACGAAGGTACGACGATATTCAGTCACCCCCCCCACGAGGGTGTCATGTGGCACAAGGCCTTTTTAACGCGGGCATTCCGAGCCCGTGGGCTCGGCCAAAAATATGCCCATTGAACCCGTATAAACGTGTTCAGGGCCGGTTTTACCACCCCGAAAGAGACTCTGCCCTTCGGCGTAGCCTCCTTCGGATTCCTCCCGTCCGTAGGAAGAGAGTTCAACCGAACAGTCTCTCGGAAAGTACTGAGTCGACTGACGAAGGTACGACAGCACGGAAAATTCATTCCGATCTTTCTGATAAGAAAAGCACTCCCGAATTTGATGGCGAGGAACGCAGATTCAACATGGAAACCTACATTAATTGTCTTTAGGAGTTAGTGCTACCCTGGGTCAAGAGGATGGCTGCTGGAAGGCTCTATGTCAGTCAACACAAGTAGGAGAACCGTTAAACAATTTCTCCGACCACATTAGACCTTAAATTTGGCCACCTATCTCTCCAGACTGCAACTCCCTTGATTATTATGTGTGGGACGCAGTTGATCGAGAAACCAACAAAACTCTTTGCATTACCAAAGATGAACTGAAGGTAAGGATTATGGCAGTATTGACCAACGTAAACAAGGAAACCGTCCTGAAGAAATACAGCAGATTCCGAATTCCTCTGAAAGCCATGGTTAAAGCAGATGGCGATTTTATTGAAGAAATTTATTCTTTAGTATTTCAAGATATTTTTTGGGTAATTTTAGTAAATATACGTGTTTAAATGAGATGTCAATATTATATTCATTTCTGCGTCATTTAGACGACAATTCATTCATCGCACGCTACGTGCGATGAATGAATTGTCGTCTAAATGACGCAGAAATGAATATAATATTGATATCTCATTTAAACACGTATATATATATATATATATATATATATATATATATATATATATATATATATATATAGTGCATGTTTTTACCTTTTGTGTGAAATGATGTAGGCATAAGTATATATATTTACATTACGTTATGCATAAATGTGCTTGTATATATATATATATATATATATATATATATATATATATATATATATATATATATATATGCCTGTCCTTTGCGGTATTGCGCGAACTAGGGCAAGGTACATTTATATATATATATATATATATATATATATATATATATATATATATGTATATATATATATATATATATATATATATATATATAAAATGTACCCCGCCCTAGTTCGCGCAATACCCCAAAGGACAGGCATATATATATATATATATATATATATATATATATATATATATATATTTATTTATATGTATGTATGTGTGTGTGTGTGTGTGTGTACATATTTCATATTTTTTTTTCTTTTTGGGGTGAAACTTTATATGCATATGGATATACACTAACAGTGAGTTATGCTTAGATGTCATTATATATATATATAAATATATAAATATATATATATATATATATATATATATATATATATATATATATATATATATATATATATATATATATATATATATATATATATATATATATATATATATATATATATATATATATTTAAATAGATATTTCTGCTTTAAATACTAGTCCACTAGTCCACGCATAACATAAAGGAACACAGCCACACCCCATACAGACTTATATATATATATATGTATGTATATATATATATATATATATATATATATATATATATATATATATATATAAGTACGCATGTATGTATGTTGTACCAGTATCTAAGTGCACTATTAAAACGAAAGTAGGTGACGATGTCGCCAAAAGTTCTTGTGTTGACATAGGAGAAGCTTGCTTTAACGGAAAATTCCATTCAACCTTTTTTGTTTTCAAATTTAACACATACACATTTCAACGCACACATTGAAACAAAAAAGAAAAATAAACAAATGTTAATAGGCAATTTGATTTATTCCATATATATATATATATATATATATATATATATATATATATATATATATATTACTGGTCCAGACCTTCGCCTGCGTATAATAATATGAGGCATATAAAAAATACAGTTTTGATGTAAGACCGCTTGAGAGCTTGAAAAGTAATTAAATGTGACATCGAATAGGCAGTTTTAGCATTGATATATATCGCCTTCTTCTTCTTTTTCTTCTTTTTCTTCTTCTTCTTCTTCTTCTTCTTCTTCGTGTAATGTCCCTTCGTTGGTAACCATGGCTCTCCACAATTTCCTGTTCTTTTTAACACTTTGTAATGTTTGTCCTTTTGCTATTTTTTGCGAACTCCGTTCTCCCAGACGTTTGCATAAGAATGTATGGTAGATTATTCGCTGTTTTTCTGTCTTCCTTGTCTTCATTATACTCTGCGCGTGTCACATTTTCCAAGCCCTCTTTCCTCTATTATCTGCCCTAGACATTCCAACTGTCTCTTTCTCATGTGAAGTTTAAGTATCCTTTTTGTATTTCATTTTCTCGAATGCTTCATCGTTGAACACATGTTCAGTCCATGACATTCTAGGTATCATTCTTTAGACCGCTGCTTGTACATTTTTCTTCTTCTCCTTCTTCTTCTTTTTCTTTCTTTCTTTCTTTCTTTCTTTCTTTCTTTCTTTCAGTCATTCATTAATAGAACTTACTGTTACATCTAGCTATTTCAACCGAGTAGCATGATTAAATTCATGTGGTCGAGGTACCCAGGGTAATAGAACAATTGCTGTATTTGTTAAACCCATTAATACCCAGGGTACAGTTTGAGTATTAATTTTATTCAATTTTTAATTAAGTTGTTAGCTATTTTTTTCTTCTTTGTCCTGCGTTCCATCAGGAAATAGTCGATGATGGCCCTTCCGTTTATCTATTTTTGCTAAAGCTCCCACCCACTCCGTTCCGCCTTTCATTCAAAGAAGCCCGTCAGGTAAGTGGCTCACTGCTTTCCTCTGTGTCTCTTGCCCTCAATATGCCCCGTGAAGATTAAAATTTCCAAGCCCTCTTTCCTCATTATGTCTCAAAAAAATTTCAATTTAAGACTTACACGTGTCTTATTTGCTCTGTCTATAGAATTCTCAGTATCCTTCTGTAGAACGATATTTTTGCGTCCTTCAGTATTCTCTTTATTTGTGGAGAGATTGTCCAGCGTTTAGCGCCATAAAAAAGAATGGATATCACATAGAAATCCAATACTCTTTTCTTTCTTTTCTTTTCTTTTTTCTTTTTCTTTTTTTTTGTTAAGCATTTCACTCCAAGCAATGCGGGAGTGCGACTAGCACGTAAAGGGTTACAGAGAGTGAGAATAAACGAGTAAAGAGCGGTGTTTGAGCAAAGGGCAGGGATCAAGATCAACGTATTAGAAGAT